TTGCATATCCATTAGCAAGTCGGCCCAGCAGGAAGTTAATAAACATTGATCAGGTCATCTTCTCCAGTCCAACACGTAACTCCTTGTACGTTTGCTTCTGTTGCAGGGCCTGTACAGTGCAGTTTCGGAGATTCTACAGCATCTGAAAGAGCAGTTTCCTCCTCACTCACAGCATGCTAAGGTGCCTTCTGTTAACCATACTGAATGTATTCAGGGCTGCCCTGCAAAGGCAAAGAGTGCTCAGGCTGGCCAGCAAACTATGGATTATTTTATGCCTTTTTAGGCATTTTTTAACTAGAAATTATTGCCATAGAACCTTCATAATAACTAAAAACTACAGATACTGCTTTCTGCCTTTAGATGATGTTCAATGAATGCAGGGAAAATCAAAAAAAAAAAGTGATTTCAGCTTCCACGTCCATATCAACTAGTTTGTTTACAGTCTATAGTTCATGGGGATTAAATGTTTTTGTCTTGCTAGGTATCTGGCTGTCTATCTACTATTCATATTTATATTTAAATCAATATAATGAATTAATTTGCAAATTAAGTAAGTTTTAAATGTGTGCTTTAGAGGTAGCTAAACCACACTAAATCCCAAGAATTCCACTCTGCTAAGCTAACATAGTAAGCAGACCTTTAGTTACATTGAATAACAAATTAAATGACAGACAGGGGGACAGAAGGTTGTGTGCTAACATGCAGTCCACTGTCAGACAAAAAAAATAGATTTTATTTAACCTTATTTTAACAGGAAGGTCCCATTGAGAGTCTTTTAAAGGGAGTCCAGTAAATGTAATATGATATAATCTAATATGTAATATTTACATATAACAACTATGGAAATATTGAGTATATTTAGTTTTAGCTCGGTCTGGCCGTGGCTAGTACACCAGCTAGCTTTTACTTCATGTAGCTCTCTCACTTTATCTAACAATTGGCTGTCTCTCTGTGGCAGACGGTGCACCAAGTGTGACCGCACTTCCTAAATTACCAACCCAGAGAGCAGTTACTGCAGCCTGGACAGTGATGCTGTCTATAGTCAACTGTGACCAAATATATAGTTATTGCATTTTGGCTTTGTAGCACAGAGGGGGAAGCTTGATATGATGTAGCTCATTTCATGAGAGGAAATGTAAAAAATATGTTTTGTTTTTTTACAAACAATCTCCAATGCAGCTCTGGATGCTGTGCGATCTGAAAATCCAGTTTGAGAGACACATGAACGAGGGGAAATACCATTTGGCAGAGCCACTAGTCACAGCGATCTCTGCCTTAAACAAAACAGAGGGTCTCTACAGGTGATGCCGATGCACACATCTTCACTTCAAATCTTAACAATGGCTGTCTCATACGTGTGTAAGTTGTGTAGGAGCTTTAACAGTGCGTTGTCTGACAGGAAAGCTCAAGTTCTGAAGGCTCTAAACCGAAGCACTGAGGCGTACAGCATCTTACAGCGGCTGCAGGTGCACTGTGAGAAGACTAAATGTACAGAGGTGGTCATCAGGTAGACAGACGCTATTATTTCTTGATAAGCATTTTCTGATACCATGAAAATCTGTTGAGTTTAGAGGAGAGTAAACACCACCTTAGTCTACCTTTTTGTTTTTTATTTGTGGAATTGAGTTGACTTACCTTCTTTAGTGCTACCATAAATATTTAATGTTTGACATTCACATTATGCATCATCTTTGGAGGAACCAGCTGTTGTGTTTATAAAATGACAAAGAAGCAAACATGAATGCTTTTCCAAAAATTTATTTCTAAACATCCATGCCGTTTAGGGATTTTCAGACTGAGCCATATTTTGTTTCGTGTATAACTGCCTGTTTACGTCTCATGCAGAGTTATGGTTTCCACTGCTGAGCTCCACTGGGAGTCGTCTGGCTTCTCCACAGCTGTTCCTCTCCTCCTGCAGGCCTTGGCTCTGGCTAGGCAGCACCACCTACAGTCCCTGGCCTCAGAGACTATCCTTCACCTGGCCTTCACTCAGGTCAGCCACAACAGGAAAACAAATGCATATCACCCAAGGCTCTTCTTTTTTTTTTGGAGTATGGCTGGTGTCTATGCAAAATAAAAGCAGCACAGCATGCATGCTTTATTTATAGTCTTTGTTTACTCTGTTTTCCGCAGCTGATGTTGGGGGTTCCTGAGCAGGCTCTGAGTGTTCTGCATGAAGCCATCGAGCCTGTTCTGGCCCACGGAGCAGTCATGGACAAAGGCCGAGCTCTGCTGCTGACAGCCCGTTGTCAGATGGCGGTGGCTGGGTTCAAGCCGAACGGACAAGGGCAAGCAGGTAACCCGCAAACTGCCGAAAACTGATCCCTATCTCATAGTGATGGTACAACCTCTATTTACACACTGCTGCTTACTGTCTACCTGCAGATTTGCGTTTGGCGGTTTTGGCTGTCGACACACTAAACGAGGCTGCAGCCTATTTCTCCAAGCTGAACTGTAAGGAGCGACTGCGGGACGTCCACTACCTGCAGGCTCAGCTCCACCATTGTCTGGGACAAACCTCGCAGTGTAACAAAAGTGCCATGCTCTTCCGGGTTTTGGACCAGGAGCTGCAGTCGCCAGCACCACCCGTCTCTATGCGACTGTAACTGCTCCCTGTCCAACAACAAACTGGAGTTATTTTGTCTTGTGACATGGACACAACAGGGAGTTTAGTCACTGCCACTAGATGGCGGTGAAGATCTGTCCTGCACCAGAGCATTTCATAAATCAGTATTTAGGCCATTTTGTTATTCTTTGCACTCAGTGCTGTGATAAGAATTAGAGAAAACAAAGTCAGTTGTCATGACTAAGGCTGACTTTCCAGTAGACCAAGAAGAGATTTGAATGATGGCCTGATTACACAACAAGCAACAGTCCAGACTCGTCAGACAGACGTAACGTACCAGCCAGCGGTGTGGTAGAAATGTCCGAAGTTTATCAGGAGCTGTCACGGGCGTGCTGTTTTACCCACCGCTTCTTGATGAATGAGGGTAATATCACTGTTAGCTACAAGACGAATGTGTTTCAATGGCCTGGATGATTCATATTTCGCCAGGAGAATACTGATGAAGCTGAAATCCGAAGGAGGAAATCGTGATCCCATTTATAATGCAGTAGACCTGCAATGACATAACATCACATACTGCATCTGTATTCCACTTGTATCTGACACGATTTGTGACAACAATCTTGGCTGATAATATTACACTCAGGTGTCCTGACGGGCCTGTAATCCATTACATAGTGCACATACTTCAAGAAAATAAACAACTTGTTTCGTCTTATTTAGTTCTCAGGTAATCTGACACAACTATATAAATAATTGGGAATATCTCTGTTGTACAGTTAAGTTATAGTTTCAGTAGTATTTAAAGTTACTTGGCATTTCCATGGAGTAATTATTTTGTTTGTCCACAAGAATCTAAGTTGGTGTGTCTGATTGGAGCACTCAGGGACTGTTAAAACAGGAAATCTCTATCTCATTTAGCATCTGGTCTGGCCCCCTGAAAGTTCCTGTTGACTGAGTAAACAGATAGATTGCAGTGGTGCGTCATAACAGCAGTCATGCGATACACCTACTCTCACAAGCGGGGTCTTTTGACTGTAGCTTGTTGTGATGTAGCTTTTGGCAGAGGGCCATATAGAACTTGAATGTACAGGTTTGTCTTACAGATTACGACTAACCGCGGGTAAAGGATGTGGGCCAGTTCACAGGGTCTGTTAAGGATGAACTAATGCTCTTCAGAAAGCACTATAAAAGGAGAAAGTGTGTGAGTGTTTGTTAACACAGTGCAGAGTTGCGCGTCTGGAGTTCATTTGATGCTGTTACACAAATAGTGTTAATGTTGCTGCAGTGGGATTCAAACAGCTGATCTAACCATTTACAGCAGAAGGCTTCCTATTTGAACTTGAAACCGCTTGTTAGCAAGTGCTTTTAACACAGCAGAGCAGTTTACGTATGAAGAAGATTTTAACATCTATTGCTCTTTTTCAAATCTGATCAGATATAAAAATAAAACAAAACGCTACAACCATTTATTGGATTGAGGTTTTTACCTAAAGGCAACGAAGCATTCTCATTGTTGCTGGCACTTGGTTTTTCATTTGCTCAAAGAGCACACATGAGTAGAGATATTTACTGAATGCTCATTGAAACTCACTGGACAGTGAAAGTAAAACAGGGTCAGTCTCTTCAGGGTCCCTGAATCCTGCACAGATTTTTGTTTACCTCCATTGACCATAACTGAACCTTAGTCGTTTAAGTATCTTTGTTCACATTATGTGTTTTAATGCTGAGGCAGTGGGTCAGTTAATAATGTAGTCGGTCTGCAAAATTAGTCCAACAACACATTTTTATAACTGATGAATCTTTTAAGATGTAATCAAGCAAAACTGCCAGCTGCTACTCTGTTTTTAACCATGCTACCGACGTGGCTTTAGGAATAGCTATCTTGGTCCATCACGTTGGTCCAAACTGAAATGTCTCAACAACTACTGGGTGATTGCCGTAAAATTTGGCACAAATATGTATCTTCCCCTTAGGATGAATTGAATGAATCGGAGAGCCCCATTGCTTTTGGTTTGTGACCAAATACCTGCAGAACTGAAGACAATCAGCCGCAGTTGCACTTTGTCTTTGGTGCTAATTAGCACATGTTAGCATGCTAACGTGCTAAACTAAGATGGGGAATGTGGTCAAAATTAAATCTGCCAAACATCAGCACATGTATAAAGTCATTGTGAGCATGTTAGCTCAAATCACCACTGCAGACTCAAAGTAAAGTTTCCTTGATTATATTTGAGTGTCTCACCTTTAGCTTGGGGAAAAAAATTAATCGGTAATGAAAATAATAGTTGGTTGTAGGTATAGTAAACATCTAATTAACTGTAATGGCACTGAAGCTTTGGGTCAGTCTGATACTGTATATTCCCTGGATTAAATATATTTACCACACATGAGGTTCAGTATTAACACTGAGCCAAATCTGACCAGCCACAACTTAAAAGATAAGATAAAGTGATTTTGTGCCTAATATTCCAGTACAGAAACAGCACAGAAATACCCAGAGGGTCCATATGGTAAAATATAACATCTTTGTTCAAAATGTTTAATAACAAGCATGGCAACAAACATGGCATAAGAACAATGCATGTTTAGAAAAATATATCTGCAAATGTATTTTTCAGAATACACTATACATTCACTTAACCTCTACTCGATATTAAACATTTACAATTCATAAGTAATAGCTCCAATATAGAGTCACGGTAGAAAACAACACGGTCAGTTTCCTCTAAATAATGTTCATTTCAGGATACTCTACCATCAGGAGAAAGATGTAGGTAGACATTTTGCTAAAACAGGCAGACGACCTGAGGTGTCCTTTATTTTTAATAGGTATACCTACCTAGACCTACCTCGCAGGTCTAGTCTTTAATTGATGGTTTTTCACCAGTTTGACATGAAGACAAACACCCCCTCACCCCCTTATAGACAAATTGTCCAATTATTCACAATAGTTTTTTCCTTAAACAATAAAAGAAATGAAAATACTACACGGACAACCTACAACCACTCAGATTATCACCTAAAACATAGTGATGAAACTTAAGAACATGTGTTATTATATTATCATTTGCCTAATTATTGGTACTTACTTGGTGGTTTTTAATATGGTGGATACTGTGTCGTACATAAAATAAGTTTAATATATAAAGCAGATGTGTTTTGGGCTTCCCCCAAAACATCACCTTCTTGACCGGGATCCAGTAGTGATGATACAGGAGTCAAACTTGGTGCAACCTCTGATTTTACTTCAAAACTCAAAAGTAATGCCAAAACAATAAGTAATGCTGAATGATTGAGTTTGAGTAAAAGAGGTTTTGGAATGGAGTCATTTTCCATGTCTCAGAGAAGGAGTGGTGGCTGTATCTCCATAGCTTAAACACTGCTTTGAGTCTTCAGTGCAGGCACTTGTATTGTGGCTTTGTCCGAGTGTCTTTGAGGAGAATGTCCAGACTGGGAGCAGCAGAGAAGGGCCTTAAGTCGTGGTCAGTATCCCGCTGGATAGCCTCCTTTCCTGGGGTCAGACTCCGCACAGAGACGCTCTCCCTGCCGCACCACCGCCTGGACCACGGAGTCTGGAGTCCCCAGCAGCTGTGTTACGTGGTTCTTCTGGACCAGACCCTCCAGGACACTCTGCCATTGGTATCATCATTACACAAAAACAAAAAGTGTTGTGCAGGAGGTTAAGGTTACTGGTCTTTGATAGAGGCCAGTAAAGTTAATAGACTTCTTAAATTAACTTATTTTTGGTTTTGCATCCATTAATTATGCATCATGTAACATTAACACTTCTGATTATTGTTTTCTAATGTTAGTCTTTCCTATATTTCTGACAGCCAGCCTACTTTCAAATATTTATTAATAATAATTATAAAACAGCTATTAGATGGATTGCCATGCAATGTGGTGCAAACATTCATACCCCAACTTTATGATAAATTGTTATCACTTTGGTGATCCTTTCACCTTTCATGAAACCCCAATCAGCCCAGATGCACTTTGTTTGGCGCTAATGAGCAAATGTTAGCATGCGAAAATGCTAGGTGAACGTGGTAAACAGCATGTTAGCTGAACCACAGCTTCATAGAGCCACGACATTACATTTACCTGATGCTTTTTACCTAAAGCAACTTATGTCAGAGGCCTCTTGATCAACTAGGGGTTAAGTGTCTTGCTCAGGGACACATTGGTGGATGTGCTGCAGTGGGAATCAAACTCGGTTCTCTCACACCAAAGGCATGTAGCTTATCTACATTGCCATTGCCATTGCCACCCCCTTGTATTAGCATGGCTTAGTCTTGTTTACATTGTGTTTTTTATTCAAAATAACATTATCATCCTGTGAGTTTATCTAATAACTGAATTTAACATTATCCCACATTTCAAGTCTTTGCCAGCTGATTTGCATACTGACATGAATTAAAATAAATGACTGTATTGTGGAATATCAATCAAAACATGCATGTAGGCTGTGTAAAAAACAGTAAACGTATAGCCAAATCAGTATATAATGACCAATGCGTCTTTTAATCAGCAACGCCAGTGCCTGTTTAGTGATATCATATATTCTGGATGTTGTTACGCATCATAAGTCTCTGATAGACTCCATGTGTGACCCACCTTTTCAAAGCCCTGCTCCACTACTGTCATATTTGGGTTGAGCTGATTGTGAACGCGCGGCTCTGTCACGGCTTTCTTTAGGTCGTAGTTGAAAAACAAGGAGTTCAGGATGACCTTTTTTTCAGCCAGAAAGAAAGGAAGGACTTTAAGGTTCAAATAACTGTGTGCCTGCAGGACAGAGATGCAAGTGAATGAATCAGACTTACCAAGGCAGTGGCTGTGGTGATTTTTGTGCCCCCTGACGCTCCTACAACCATTTTGACTCTGTTTTCTTTGTCAAAGATGATAGTAGGACACATGGAAGACAGCGGCCTCTTGCCTGCAACAAATAAACAGAATGTGGCTATGACTGCTTAATGGATAATCAGCTTTTTTCTTTATAATGCAGGAGGAGGAGGATGCTGTTTGTGAACTAATGCTATCAGAGTTCCCGACAATGAGAAATGCAGGAACAAGTGAAAGGCTGGTGAAAACATCACCTCTGCATCATCCTCACTAGAGAAGTGATCAGGCTTAATCTAAGTAAACGCTACTATCCATCAACATATATACATGTGTCCAAAAGTCAGGTCGGAATAATACAAGTGTGATAATTCAGTCCAGCCACACCTGGTTGAATGAAATTGTTTGGTGAAGGAGGGATTCCAAACCCATTGGTTATGTGTGGAGAGCTGAAGTCATCCATTTCATCGTTGAAAATTATTCCAGTCGATCGAGACATGACTTTGGAGCCAAAGCTGGTGAAATAAAACAGCTTTTTAATAAGTGATTAACACAAGGTCACAGATAATAGTCAGCAAAACTCTCGCAGACAGACAGGTTCAAGAAAGGCGCATACTTTATTCAGAGGGATATTTTCTGACAGCATGACATCTTACTATAGGTTAATGGTGCTGGTGGCAGCCACAGCGCTTCCATCCTCAGCTATGACCGACAGGTGAGCCGTGCCGTGGTTGTCTGGGACAAAGTAGTCTGGCTCATAGTAGCTGTCTGGGTGGGTGGTGTCGTCTGTTATTTTACTCCTTATGCCATCAGCAAAATAGTCTGAGGTCATGTTTTGGATGAGCTGAGGAGAGCAAAACAAGTCAGTCACAGAGAAGACGCTCCTGACAGTTTGTCATGAAAATCATAAATAGTAAACAATAGCAGAGCTCTTGTCCTGTCCTGTCTATCAATGCAGAATGTTTTTAAATTTGGGGCAAATAAATGCACATCCTGCCCTTGCACAGTGACTAGCAGGACACCTCTGGGGTCATACTGAGTAAAGTGAAGCTAGAAATGCTCCAAAATAAAAGTCTGAAGGATGTTAATAATAACATGAAGGCTTACATCGGTAATATTAAGATAACGTGGGTCCCCGAGTCTGCTCCTCTTGGCATAAGCAAAGCGAAAAGCCTCTACGATGCGATGGTACGTCAGAGTCTTTTTCTCTGCTGTAGAGACACTTGTGTCTGTGAAGTTGTACCCTGCAAAATATCCACCAGAAAAACATGTATCACATTTTAATCAGGTAATGAGTCTTTTCCATCATTGTGCAAAAAGCCCATTTCAGCCAGTGACAGGTCATTTAACAGTAAATTCTCTATTGAAATAACATGAAACCTTCCAGCAATATGAATATAGGACCTTGTTCCTCCAGATTCATATATGAACACATTCAATCTTATCCTCCATTTGAAATGAATGCTGGCACTTTTTATTTAAAGCATGACTAAAGATTATCTGCCTGAACAGATGGGGCGTTGATGGTGAATTAAATTTGGCATGTAGGACTGAGTCGCAGCACCGTTTTCTGCTTCCAAAACAGGCGGAGCAACATTCCAGGGACGACCTGGGGAAACCTGACATCTTTCCTTCTGCATGGCTGCACAAGCACTTGGCCAGGCTGCTCACCATCCACTATGTTGAGTATGAGTGCCAGCACAGGGCCACTGGAGGGGGCGTCTGGGACATGCATGGTGTATTCTCCAACGTTCAGGCTCAGAGGGTTCTCGTTCAGCACAGGTTGGTACTCCAATAAATCATCCAGGGTGATAATGCCACCTGTAATGAGCACAGAAGTTCCAAGTGGATTCACTATTTATTTATTTATTCTTATAGCTCTAAAGACAACAAAGAGTAAGGACCTGCTGCCTGGATGTCCTCGACGATGCTCTGCGCCATTGACCCGTTATAAAACACATCAGGTCCCTCTTCTGCTATTCTTTGGTATGTTTCAGCCAGCTTTGGAAATTTAACAATATCATTTTCCTTCAGGATGTTTCTTTCGGAATCACAAAACACATCACTGGAAGATGATAAGAAAAGGAAAAAAAGAAGAAAACCAGTCAGTTAAAGTCTGTGGCAAAAGGAAGCCACTACTGTATGGGTAGATTTGATAATGTCTGGGTTTAGTGCTTCCCAGTAGTAGTGTCGCAAAAGCCATTGTGGCAACCAGCAATGTACTCCTCTACCCGGCTAACTGACCAAGAGACACTGAGATAAACCTGCTGAAAAGGAACAAATAGACTGCACCAAATCTATGACTATATATATATCTAGATCTAGATAGATAGATAGATAAAAGAACAGTTTGACATTTGGGGAATTACCATTATTGGCTTTCTTAAAGAGAGTCTGTCTGTCCATTAAACATGACGCTGCCATGGATGATTAAGAGACATGGATATGTCATCATCAGTCAGTCTTGCTGCCAGTTTGTTCCAGTGGCAGCTAAAAGTTCCCCGCCTCCCTAAAAAGCATTTCCCCCATAGACCACCATTACAAAAGAGATGTCTGTAAAACTCCAACTCTTGAAACAGTGGTTAATTATTACTCTTTATATCACGCTGTTTTTATGTCTGTGAAATCACGTAAATGTTAAGTCTAAAAAAGAAGCACAAATTTCCATGTGCAGCTGGTCACACAATGTGGAAACAAATCAGGAAGCAAAACCTTTTTGGCTTTTGCACTGGCTGAGCAATTTTCATTTGAGTGAATGGGCGCCATCTTGAAGTCCAGTATCCAGTTCTTGTAATACATCCATGGAAGCTATAGCCGGGAGAGTGTTTGCTTAGCTTAGCATAAAGACTGGAAACCAAACTGCTGAACTATTTTTTGGGATCTTGTAAGCAACCTGCCGAGACTCCAGGAAGTGCTGCTCACAGCCAAGGAATAGTTTCAGCACATAAAATGTTCACTTGACTTTGGTGTTTTGTTTTTGCATAAATAGATGGAAAATATTGGACAGAGAGAAAGAAGAAGGAAGTTCAGTGTGTCAACAGTAATCATAAGATGTTTAGTTTAGTATAAGTTCTGGTAGGTGGTTGAACTGCTTTACCTTTATGCTAAACTGAAAACCATCTTCTATCTGTAGCTTCACATCACGTATCATCATATTACGAGAGTGGTATTGCTGTTCTCATCTAACTCTTTGATAAGAAAGTGTATTTCCCCAAATATTAAACTATTCCTTTTAAGTTGTCTGCACAAATGAGTGTACAAATAATTGTGTAAAATTGTAAAAAGCAGGAGAGTTAGTGAAGTTGCTGACATTCAGTTTAGCCTGTATTTTCTGCCTTTTAATTCTTCATCCTCACCACATGTTGGCGTCTGCTTCAATGGAATCCTTGCTCTTGAAGATGGCATGAGCCAAAGCTTTTCCTATAGGAAAGCCATCGCGAGCCAAGGCGATGCTGGGCTCAAACAGGTCCTTCCATGGCAGCTTGCCATGCCTCTTGTGTGCCATCTCATAACCGCGGATCTCCCCGGGAATGGCTATGGACAATCCACCTGTCATGTAGAAACAGCAGCACCTCTATTTTTAATATCACAAGCTCTTTCTTTCTGTCTATTGTCTGACTAGAGGGCCAGCATACTAAGAGACACCAAAACACTTTGATACATCTATAGATACTGTGTACAGCGCATACAGAGTCAATATTTTATTTTTATTCAACCACCAGCAGCTGCAAAGGAAGATATGGAAAGGTTGTTAAGGATGATGAAACATCCGAGAGGAGCTGAATGGATAGGTTTATGACTATTGAGAATATTTAGACCCTCTAAATCCCTCTCTAGCTCTGATACAGCATTAGAGTTATGTTACAGTAGCTCCAAAGCTTTTACAGAACACAATAAAGTCGGATCTGCACCGAGAGATTCTTTTTCTCCCCTGTGCCTGGGAAATACTCCAACAGCTCGCAGCTAGTACCTGTACGAGAAAGCTTGGTGTTGTTGCCAAACATGTCTTCAGTGGCGTTCATGGGTGCCGTCTCCCTCGCATCGATTGTTTCCACCCTCCCTGTTGAGATAAAAATGTGGACAGATTGACAATTGTGTTTTTGCTCAGTTAACTTTGTTGAGAAGTTGTAGCCAATGATGCACACTCACCTGTGGAAGCGTTATAGATGACAAAGAAGAGCCCTCCTCCGATGCCCATGCTGTGAGCGTTCAAAAGGCCGACACATAGCAAGGCAGCGATAGAAGCATCCACGGCTGAACCGTTTTTCTTCAGGATGTCCCTGAAAACACAAAAATGCACTTAGTAGCCTCTGGCACGCACAGAAGCACACGCAGGAGCAGAACATGCGATACCACTATATGTCACATTTGGATATCAGTGTCTTCTTTACCTCCCCACTTCTGAACACTTCCCAGCATCAGCAGCCACAGCAGCCTTTGAGAAGAAGTGGTCCGAGGGGGGAGGCGTGTTTTTCTTCCCCAGGCCCATGAACACCCCCAGGAACAGGCTCACTGCAGCCACCAGAAGGACCACCAGGCCAGCAATCAGGGACTTCCCAACCATTTTCCTGCTCGGGAAAATCGACACACCTCACAGTCAGACAGGATCCTTCAGCTCAGAAACAAGTGTCGTCTCCTCCAGACATCCAGCCCATTATTTTCAGAGTGGTAGCCAAACCTTTACATGAATAACAATGTGGAAAATAAGCGCATTATATTTCACTCACCTTTGGTGTATTGTTTTTGCACAGATAGATGAAAAATATTGGACAAAAAGAAGGCAGAAGAAGGCAGTTGGTTATTCAACTGACTCTTTGCGTGTGTCAGGTGTAATGACAAGGTGTCAAGTATGACCAGCCTCTGTCACTGGTGATACTGGAACGTAATGCGTCACCATCTTTGGGTTGTTTTTTTGGTGACTTAACTCAGGTGTCACACTGTAATGCTGATAAGCTGTGCTTTCTGGATAATAAGCACTGGCTTCATTGGTGTATATGTTTTCAAAAGTTCCAGGAAGAATGACAGACTCACGGAGATAGAACGGTACATAGAGGACGATCTAGGTGGGAGGGCAAAGGTCATTGAAGCTTTCTTCTGTGACCACTGTATGTTTGGGCAATGAAGCATAAGGTTTGAAATTCTGCATGTTCAATTCTTCACAAAAATCTGAATTTGTTGTGGTTAAGTCGATGATTTTTTAAAGCCAGACATCACTTCTTCAAATGACTGATCTGTCTTTTCTTTGGAGTGAAACTCTTGAGTTTGTGTTTTTAGTCCTCTATGACCTTACATTTCACTCTGATATCAATCTGGCAGGCTTGCCAAAGTGAAGGTGAGAGTGATCCATTTACAGATGCAGGCAGCATTCAGCCCTGACTCGGGGCTCTGTGTGATTGGCTCAGCCGGCAGCGTTCCCATGCTCAGTAGCCGTGTCACAGTCTATTTGGCTTATTCTGCAGGAATCCTCAGACCGATTGAGATGCCTGAGTCTTCACCCAGCAGCACAGGTCCAAGCTGGCAGTGTTGATGACAGGAGCTTCTCAACAGCAAATACCCTTCTGCGGTACCACAGCTAATCCAGCGTGCACTCCTGTTGCTGGGCCTCACTGATAAAGCACTGTCAGAGGAGCCTGTGGGCTGCTGCTGCTACTGCCGCTGCTGTGATTGTGTCTAAATCTAATCACTACTATCCTGCTCTGGATCTTGCAGGTTCAGTGCCACCCCAAAGGGGGGAGTTTATTTAATGGACAGAGCTGATTTATAGCGGAAGAGGACAATTACATATCGGTTTGTTGCAGATCACAAAAGCCTTCTGTCAGCCTTTGTGCACATGTCACTGTCACCGGATAGAGGTTATGTTATGAAATATCAGCTGGAGCTTGTTCATATTTTTATCCCACAGCTAGAGGCTTATAAGTTTCATTTTGACTTTGCTGGGAGGGATGCACTCCTACCCACCAGGTCTCCTTGCGATTGTTTTCACACAATAAAGGGGGGAGTCTTGTCTGTCTATATACTCAGCAGCAAATCAAATCACACACTGCTGTTGTTCCTCAACGACAGGTGAAACGCAGCCTGCAGAAACACTTAAAGCAGAGTGAAGGCCACAGTGGAAAAGGAGGTGATGTCATGTGTTTTTATGGGTGGCTGCAGTTCTTTAATGATAGGTGCTCCACCCACAGACAAACTATATTGTGTTGTGTTGCAGTTATAAGTAGAAATTTCAACTTGTTTTTTCTTAGCAGTGATGGACAAATATGTTTATAGATGTATGTTTGGAGTGGATGACTGGATGGTGAAAGAAAAAACAAATGGGTTCACATATTCTAGCTCAGAGGTTCCCAGACATCTGGCTTTTGGTTCATTAAAATGGTGGTTGCTCATGCTTATAAATTATGATCAGATCAGATCATTTTAAGGTATTTTGCTGGCATGTTTGCCCTTATTTGATAGTTGACAATCAAGAGGTGACAGAAAAGCTATGGAGGCAACCTCATTGCATCATTTGTTTTGCTGCTCCTGCATGTGTGTGCTGTCATGAGAATGCTCAGTTTGTTTCCTTTGTTGTCGTTTCAGGAATTTAGTGCCCTATGTTGGTATTTCTTAAAGGATAAATTAACGTCTAAATTACATCCAGATTACATCCTTCTTTTTGCCACCACCAGGCTCAGGTGTGTGTCAACAACATGGGAAGGATCCCTACGAGTGACTCCAGGGGGACACCCTTTCTTTTTAAAAAGAAACTAAAATCTCGCTCAAGGACAATTCTCACTCTGAAATCTTGCGAGAGGTGAGTTGTTACAGAAAGACGACGGTGGAAATGTTAGTCAGAGTTGGAGATTGTTGTGTTGGCGTAACGTAAGGAAATAAGGTTTTGTCAGCAGTTGCTCTACTTACACAACAAACTCCCCCTCATTTCCACTGGGGTTTCCTACTATGCTTGCCTCTTACGAGATTTAAGTGTGAGAATTGTCTGTGAGCTTCTGTTTCTCGTTAAAACAAAGGGAGTTAAAGTTTGGGTCGAGCTCCAAAGAGGCTGGGTGGTACAGTTCCCATAATGCAAAACAGTAATGTATTTCATTTGCCTCCTGAATGCTCTAATAACATTTTATTCTCACAGTTATTTACTAGAATTGATGGTACCGAAATATGCCTTGGACAAAATATCAAGTTTTTTTTTAGTACCAATGTGTAAAATAAAACCCACAACAACATGAGCACAGCAGGAGAGACAGTTATGTTTTGCTAAATTGTTATTTCATCAGCATTGCTTGGAGAGTCAAAGCTCTGACAAACCAAATCAGTAGCATGGGTGTGATTAAAGAAATTCAGGGCACCAGTCAATCATTACAACTTCAAAGAAATATGCAGCAGGCTGGATTCAGGGAGGATGTAGTGCAGCCAGGGGAAATATTTATTAGAGAGCAACAACCATCCTGCTCCACTCAACAAGGGTAAGTCTGAATCATACCAGGAAATAAGGTCAAGTCCTTAAAGCCACAATGATGGGACCTGCAAATAGAAACACACCACATCACAAACCTCTGTTTGATAACTCTAAATCTCATGCAATCTGAGAAAAGCTGCATTTATTTACAGTAATATTCAATTCCCCACAGTGCAGGTGTGGAGGGTACTGTGCAATGTCTGATCTGAGAGCTGTCTCTTATGTAGCTGGATGCACCCTCAGGTGCCCCATCCTCCCATCAATTACCCTTTAGGGCCCCTGTGACTTGGATGTTCTCCAAATTCAAAAGATTTAGTGGAGCTGGGACATATGCAAACAGGGTTTGACAGCTCATCCAATCACTGACTGAAAACAAGATTGCCAAAAGATAAATTCATATAATGTACAGGGCCAATGCCAAAGCACATGTTTGGGCAACTGGAGGGAAAAGACAAACTTTCAGTTCTTCTGAAGGATAAATCTGACAGCTCCATTAGAAACATAGTCTACCCCTCAAGACAAACTGAAACTTTTTGATACATTTTTAGTTATTTAGCAGACTTCCGAGTGATTTGTCAGATTGTGCATCGGTCGCATGACATTAAAAGCAACACTGACATCCTTTATTATTTTATTCTTTCTTGTAGCTGCACAGAGAGGGAAAGCCTGGGAGGGGAGACGCGCATCGGGCACCAGATGCTGTGATTGGTCAGACGCTCCACGTTGCACAAACCTAAACAGCAGCGTAGAGCAGAGACGGCCGGAGGATGAAGCAGCCGGAGCATCCTCATCATCCGAGTCAGGCGCACGTAGCTCGCGGTGGGGGAAGAAATAAAACAGACAGACCCGCGACGGGTGCATGAGATAATTGGTAATAAATCAGACTGTGATATCGTGTGGTTCTGCACCGGATCCAGGGAGCAACGCAGCGCCAGACAGCACGGCGCTGTTTTCTATACCATCCACTGAGGAGCATCTGCTGGCAGAAAAACAGGGGCTGATCATGAGCTGGTCCTTTTGTGTCTGAGCTGCAATACAAACTGCGCCTGCATCTGTGGGAAAATAACACAATGGGTTCCAGACTGAGCAGGCAGAGCAGCCTGGACAATGAGAATTTCTCCAAAAAGCGACGCAAGCTTCTAGATAGCACCGGAGAGAACGACAGGGGCAGCCGGGGCGGCGGGGACTTTCTGTTTGCACTGATGCTGAAGTCAGACAAACTGCCTGGGATGCTGCGTAGGACCAACCACAGCCCGTACATGAGGCGAGTGGCGTGGATCAAAGAGATACAGAAGCTGCTCCGTGACCGCAGGATAGAGCAGGCAACCGACGTGCTCAAATTACTGAGGAAGGTAAGTGGAAACTGCACACAGCTCAGCCCGAGCACAGGGAAGTCAGACCTGTTTACATTCAGCGTGTGCCCTGCTTTGATGCTCATGCAACCATAGCCTACCTCATCAAACCATCCCAAAGCAACATACAGAGAACAAATAGGAGCTGTTCGTGTGTGTGACTGCAGTTTGATGTGTTCTGCGTGTCCACAATCTTGCAGTGGCACCGATGCCTTAGCCCCCTCCTGCATGCTCTGCTCCTGGCTTCTGACCTCGGACTCCAGTCCACTTCACCCCTATTTTCCCTCTTGTGGTGACTCTGCGTGCGTGGCCTCACTGCTTCGGCCACTTCCTCCAGAAGTATTTGTTTTTATAGAAAGTAGGCCACTGGCAGAGCATTGTCCGTGTCATTGTTTCAGCGGCAGACACAGTGTGTGACTCACCACAGTGTTCACTTTCACTGTGGGTAAACGTGCCCTGTGTTGACATTTGATCTGAAAGGATAACCTGCATTCTAAACTGCATGCGGTGTGTCAATGCATTGTCCCAAATGTCATTGTCTTTGGATGCGATCTGGATATAGATTCCACAAACACCACATGGGATGTGGAGCCCAATCCCCCGCGCCACTACCATCGCTACAACTGTCCTTGTTTCCGCAATACTTTTCCTCAGGCTGTCCTAACGCTCCCATTAGAGCACCTGCCCCCTCCACCCCTCTTCGCTCCTAATCTCTCTCTCTCTCTGTGTAATGGCCTGTGCTCCAGCAACAACAATATAAGCCCA